TATGAACTCACAAGAAAGCGGTTTCCTACAAGATTCTTGTGATAAAAATACATGTAAAATATTTTACAAGATACTTGTCTGAAATGCCAAGAAACAAGAATCTTACACGAATACCCACAAGAACGTCGATGAGTGTAAATATGATACAGAGCTCAAAAAAAAGAAAAGAATGACACATACGTCATATCTTTATGTAGCCACAAAATAGAAAAGAAAAAAAGAAAAGAAATAGGGAATCTGAATCTTGGAAGGAATAAGAAAAGAAAGTCGATCAACAAGTGACGTTAAAGGAAGAAAGAGACATTTTTGCCACACATATGATCGAATATAGTGCATGTGCGAGAAGAGATATCTCCTTATTTGCTATAGTCCTAATGTAAGTATTTTGTTCTAGTCTACTGTAGTTTTTTTCGTGTTGAAAGAAACAGAATAAATGTGCTATACTGCCGCTTTCTTCGACGATTTTTCATATTGAGGCAAGTTACCTATCTGAGTCTCACTTCATTCTATTCTATGTATATCATCATCGCTGTTTCTATTTGTCATTCCGTCTCTGTCTTTCTTTTTTTAGTCTATTCAAACATTAACATGTGCGTCAAGTGATGTGAGATTTTTTGTTGAAACTTGTTTTGACTTCTTTTAAATAACTCGCATTTGAATTAAACTCTGTGGTCTGTTTGAAGAGTCTATTTAGACAGTTTTTCCTCTTTTATTCCACATGGGAACCAAGAAACATTGTCGTCATAAAAATGTATTTGCTTCAGAATAAATATTTTTCGACATTCATGTTGATCGTACATGAGGAAAGATTAGAACTGCGACAAAAATCACTTCTTTTCTTTTAAAAGAAATTTTATTCTTCCTCACGTGTTTTATCCACTATATACCCCGCGATTTTCATTTCTGTGCATGTGGCTGCTCGTTGCCTTTATGCACAAATATAGTGAAAGAATCAACTTAAAGGCAACCAGTACACACATGCACAGAAAAGAATATCACTGTTTTGTATTTCACGCTATATAGCGGAAAAAAAGCACGTGAGAAAGAATAAAATGCTTTAAAACGAAAAGAATTGATTTTTGTCGCAGTTCTATTACTAGTGTGCCTTTTGTTCATATTATTCATTTTCTTTAGTTTAAAAATCACTAATGACACTGAGAATTATCGGTTATGGCACAAAAGCTTATCACCAAATGGTTGCATTACGTTATGACGTATTACTCAAACCATTAGGACGCAAATTTACAGATGAAGAACTTGCCAAAGATAAAAAAGATTTGATGGTTGGACATTACGACGCCAAGGATCAAATTAACGGTTGTTGCATTATGAGTGACGAAACTACAAATCCCAATGTGAAAACCGGTCGTTTCAGACAAATGGCGGTGCACGATCCATTACAACGTCAAGGAATCGGCCGAAAAGTATTAACGTATTCAGAAGATATTGCTCGTCGAAATGGTTATCACCTTCTGACGATGAATTCGCGAAAAACCGCTGTTCCATTTTATGAAAAATGCGGCTATAAAGTTTGCAGTGAAGAGTTTAAGTCGGGAATCACTGGTTTGCTACATTTAAAGATGAAAAAACAACTTTGAAAAGTGCAACTAGTCGAAAATATCTTATAAAAATAAAACAGACAAATTTTGTTCATCACATTTATGTATTTAAACAATCCCAAAAGTGCTTACAGATATCTAAGCCAACACACTTTCTAGTACGTGCGAACTCTGTGTTTTCGACTTCGTATTATAGCAAATATTTTTCATTTGTTATTTTTGACATATGTATCAAAAAAATATCTGACTAGCATAATAACACCATCAAAGTTTTAAACCAACAAAGCAAAAAATACACAACTACGCAACATGATAATGGGTGAAAACATTACTTTGTTTGCAATAGTATCAAAAGAAAGCAAGAAGTGTTACAATGACAATATTTTGTTAAAAAAAACCATTTTCAAAAATCTATAATTAGTCAAAAACAAAACATATAGTCAAGACGTAATAACTCAGGAGATCGTATCACGAAAAAACTTAAGTCAAAGTCTAGACTTAAGTCAGACTTAAGTGTATAAATTAGCACGTAAGTGTACATAACGAAGGCTTTGGTCCGACTTAAGTTTTTTTGTGATACGACTCCCAGATATCTGAATGTCTGTCACTGTAGAACCCAAATAACAGAGGAAAGAAAGTCAATAAAACTTAAAAGTTAACTAATTAAAAAATTCTCTCAAACCTTTATTGCTTCCATGAATATTTTAGTTCTGTTGTGCTTGTTGTCCATCTCTTCTACGGACATATGGTTTTATTGCATTTTCAGCACTGCTAGCTTTAAACCGTTCAAGTTGTGCTCTATTAAATGCATGATTTAATTTTATTGTCTTCGTTTTACTGCAACCATGTTTAATACGATATTCCAGAACAACGGACCCTAGACAAAAAAAATGTGAAATCTTACTCAATTCTTATATAAGATGTTCCATGGAAGCGACAAGAATTCTGCTGAATCTTATAAGAATCTCACAAGAATTTATAAGAAATTGGTAAGAGTCAGCAAAACTTGTACGTTATTCTTATCAGAAACTATGTTGCACCGGTACGTACTAGTTCCACATTTTACCAGTCACCGTTTGTTATCTACGATTGCATTATGTTTTACTCGGTCTTTTCTTCGAGAACATAGTGCAATCAAATTTTAATGCGACCAGACAATGTTTTGGTCTTGTTATAATCTCTATCTGGAAAGGAAAAATCAGTATAAATAGCGAATTAGGTGATAAATTCAGAGGATGCACACAGTAAATTCAGCTCTCTGTTCCCTTATCTAAATAGGTCCCATTTTCGCTAGTCACAATGCTGCACAATCGGATTTCTGGACAAGTTTTCTTTTGAGACACATCTCTCGCAGATTAACTCAGTCCGTATGTATCAGACAAAAAAATTGAAAAACAACAACTTTTGATATAAAAGAGTCACTTAAAAAGAAAGTGTGTCCTAAGGTGGCTGAAACACTGATTTCACCGTGTTTTACCCGATTTTCTCTTCGGGAACATAATGCAGTCAGGGTCAATCATTCATCTCAGACTCACTTTCAAGTTGAAATCAAAACCTGTACACAGTAGTTTCATTAACACGCTCTCTATTTGTCTAAGTTCTTTCTACTTATCATAAGAACCATATTAATAGTGTTTTGTCATGTATTTCTCAATTATGGTTTGCCATATAACTTGCATTTGATCTTAGAATAAAACTGAGAGCGGTTAATGTTTTATAGTTCGCCTGTGAGTTTTACCGCAAGGTAATGTTTGCCATATTTGACGAAAACATTCACGCTTGGACTTTCAGAGAATGTATATCCGTAGTTATTATCGCTAGGATCAGTTCGTTATTAGAGCCAATCTAATATTCTGCGAATGAGGCGGAATGGCTGAGCCTCGGTCAAACAGAACTGAACTGATCATTGCTACATCCTGAGAGTCACTAACGGCAAAGCGATATTACACCGCGGATACTCACAATTATTATAACATTAACCTTCCATGCATTTCTCACTTCTGTGCACTTTTATTTGGAGATCTTTACACAGCAAACATTAACTGAGCTACACTGGAAAAGTCCCTGTATGTGGTGTATTTCATGATAAATTAGAACCATTTTTGATACCCAAAATGAATAAAGAAAAATTGCAACTGTGCGAGCGACAAAGGATGTTATATATCCCTTTTCTCTCACTCACTGCAAGTGCTGCCCAAGCAAAATAGGATCTAGCTTAAGCTAGCTAAAAGGAACATTTACCTAGCTTGAGCTAGCTGATTGTTCCTCTTTAGCCACCTTAAGCTAGATCCCATCGGGTGTGTACTTACTCCGTAAATTGGTTATTTTACTTTAAAAAGGTTCAAAAAGCAGCTATAAACTGCAAAAAGTTGGAATATAAAGGTAGTCCACTTTAAGAAACAAAATGCCTTATATAACAGGCATTGTTTCTCTTCTCGTTTAAATGAGAATAAAAGATATGATATCGTCTATCGTATACGTGGCGAGAGTATATAAGTTTATAGTAAGCATGTTTCTTCGTTCGAAGAAAAATGTTATAAAAGGATAGATTGCTCCACGTGATATAACTATATATGGATATATACATACTTCCGGCACGTATCGGACTGACCATACGAACATTTTTTTCTCATAATATAATAATAACAAAAAAATTCTATAAAGTCATATTTACAAGAACAAACTAATGGAATTAAACGAGAAAAATCGGTAGAAGGACTAAGATTTGCACTACATTTATAACAAAATTATTGTGATAACAACCACTAGTCTTCAAAATACGATGTGAGATCATCGTAAAGTTCGACAGTCACTTGAGATAGGACGGGGGAAAGATCGTTCAAAGAACGTTAAATTAGCTTTAACAAAAGACTGAATGTAATCTAAAAGAACTGTTGTAATCTAGCATTTATTTCCTTGAATTATTTTTTTCTTACTAAGTATACTTTGCTATTGACAAAAGCATTAATTAATTTTCATGGATTATTTACCGAACTCATTTCTCTCATTTTAAAGCCAATTAAGTACATCCATCTCAAATATCTCTTTTTTCAGAGCTCATTTATCATTTTATCCATGATTAAAAAGTCAAAGAGTTGATGTTGTGAGCTTTGGGTGATTGAGTTCCCTTAAGCGCTAACCACAAGTGACAGTTTTTCATACCCTTTTATTCGTTTGTGCTCTATATTACTTCATCGTCATTTCTCGATTTTCTACTTTTAGTGTGTTCATACTTTACCTAAAAGTGTTTTCTCTTCGATAATATACACAGTTTATTGTGAACTAACGGCCAAGAAGTGGAGGCCAATAGTGTGGATAATAGGATAAGTCAATAATGGTCATAACTAAGACTTTGTCCGGACTACTTAACAATTCAAAACTAAAAAATTTCTCTAGTTTTTAGCTAAGTGAAAATATTTTCACAACACCTTGAACCAAATTTCGCTCTAAGAAAGCATTTTCAAGGGAAAGTGTGCGTACGAAAGTTATTCAGA